ATTATCAAGGCTACTAACATTATTATTAAGGTTGCCAACACATATTATCAAAGCTGCCAAAGTTATTATCAAAGCTACACGCGTTATCAAGGCTACCGACGTTATTATTAAAGCTTCCAGCGTTATTATGAAGGTTACTATCGTTATTATCAAGGCTAGGAAGGTTACCGTCAAAGTTACCGAGGTTATTGTCAAGGCTACAGTGGTTACTGTCAAGACTACCATGGTTATTGTCAAGTCTACCAAGTCTAGTGTCAAGGCTTCCTCTTGTGCTGCCAGTCAACAGGTTAAACCACTGATTTCCTCCTTTTCTGTATATAAAAACGCACTGGTTGCTGGAGCCTCCAGCTGTATACTATTCTGATCCCAACTACCTGTTCAGAATCACCGCTAGTTAGAATATAGCTTTGCCTTTTCAGAAGTTAGCCCCGGTAGATTAGGTTAGGTAAGGTTTGTCAGGAAACAGGACAAGTGTTTCCTGACGCGGGTCTTAATAATAAGCTGGAGCTTTTGGTCATCTGACAGAGGCTCCCGGCTGGCTTACCGGTCCACCCCTTTAAAAATTAAGATTATAATTAAAACCACCAGTTCTATCCTCGGTGTGGACCGTGAGGTCTCCTGTTATCTGTTTTTCATATGTACTCATATGTAGTTGACCTCACTAAGTAAATACAATGCTAAATTGTAAATTTTGGGGCACATGATGTATTTATGAGTAAAAAAATAGTGAATACAGTGGCTCATATCCTAGCAGACCTGTAGAATTAAGTCAGTTCCAGACTCTTCGTTATTAAGTCAGTTCCAGACTCTTCGTTACAGGTCACCAACAACGGCGACGCAAGTGTTACCGAACGTAACGCCAGCAGTAACAAGAGAACAAATAATGTACTTTTTTTCAGTTGACAGAGGAACAGGTGTAGGCAAGTAGATAAACATAACTCACAGTATGGTGAATTTATAGGTTTTGCGGACGATTCTTCCTTCTTTATGCCCTTAACCCGAGAACCATAAATAAAAAGCATTTTTACTGGAAAATGAAAATTGTGCTGTTCAAGTGTATAAAACTGCCGCCTTTTAATCACAACAACCTCCTTACTCAGTTATATATGTCCTCCATTCTTTTCTCCCCCTCTTTCTCTTCTTCCACCTTTTCCTCATTTTTCTCTTTCTCTTCGTTCTCCTCCTCTTCGCTTCAAACAGTTTCTCGAGCATAAGCATCACTTCATCAATCCCGCAGACAGAGGCTACACCAATGAATGTGTCTAGTGGTATGCTCGTCGCGTGTTTAATATGCATAGGTTCAGTGTGTAGTGTAGAAATTAGCCTCATTTGGATGCTTGACAAACTGTAGTGATGACGCCTTCCAGACCTCTTCATATCTAGTTCAAACTACATTCTACAGTGAAAGATAAAGATTTATTGTCATTCTACCTTCAGAGGTATACATACATAAATACATATATACATCATTCTACAGTATGTTATAATAGATAGCATGAGTAAAACACGAATTTAAAGTATTATATGGAGAAGCTCAGTGGCGCTGGAAGTGTACTCCACACACGTACCGTCAAGGAATAAGGAAAGATCCAAATTAGAAAGGAAAAGACGCTCCCTCCATAGGCAAAAGACGAAGAATCACACTTCTCTGGCTCCAGACTTTTTTTTAAGAATAAAAAAATAAAAGTGCTGCTTAGATGAATGGAAAACATTGGGCTAAAAAGAAATATATCGCGCACAGTCAGACAGATAGATAGATAGATAGATAGATAGATAGAGAGAGAGAGAGAGAGAGAGAGAGAGAGAGAGAGAGAGAGAGAGAGAGAGAGAGAGAGAGAGAGAGAGAGAGAAACCAAAATGCGTAAATGAAACTGAAAGAAACCCATATGCAAAATTCACGAGAAAAACCACATCTGGTATTTGGCCCTTGATTAAAGATGGGAACACCTCCCTACTTATCTCTCACATTGAATGACTCTTCCCTATTCATTCTTGATGAGTATCTTGACTCGCCCACATTATCTAACTCATCCGTATTCATAACTTATTGCCTGACTCATCCTTACTCATCTCCAGCCATCCCCACTTTCCTTTCTCACGTCTCTCTCATTGTCACATTTTTTGTGCCAGTTTTCTCCTTTATCAGTAATTGATCATTTTGGAATATTTTAAATTTAATATCAGGTAGAGAGCTCGGCCCCTCTGAACATTGTTTCGCCCACTGGGGGCTTTATAAAGCATCCAACGGGCAAAACATCCAGTAAATGTGCTGTGTGTTCAATATGTCTTTATTATATAGTTTTATGGGTAGTGTGTTACGCCTGGTACTGACGCTTTGTCCTTGTCCGTGTCGGACAATTTGTATGGTACGTAGCCTCCCATCTCGTGTGGCTGACATTGGTTTAAACAATGGTTCTGCACTGAATGCACTGACTTGTTAATATTTTTTTTTAAGTGAAAGCACTGACTTAATTCTTTTCTTCAATGAATGCACTGACTGTTAATGTTTTCTTCGGTGAATGCACTGACTGTTGTTTCTTCATTGAATGCACTGACTGTTGTTTCTTCATTGAATGCACTGACTGTTAATGTTTTCTTCAGTGAATGCACTGACTTGTTTCTTCATTGAATGCACTGACTGTTGTTTCTTTAGTGAATGCACTGACTGTTTTTTCTTCAGTGAATGCACTGACTGTTGTTTCTTCAGTGAATGAACTGACTGGTTAATGTTTTTTCAATGAATGCACTGACTGCTTTCTAGGGAATGCACTGAATATTAATGTTTTTTTCGGTGAATTCACTTACTTTCATGTCACTTACACAAGAAACAGCACTGGACCAAGTGGAACTCCCACTCTTTACACTCGTCCACGTCCATTCCGATACCTTCACCATGACAGTAACGCGTTGTTTCCTTCGTTTAATAAGTGAACTATAGATATGAATCCAAATGTACTCATGTAAACCCTTTTGGGGCCTAATTCCTAGGCCTTTTGTGTATCCACGTGCTCTTGCGATATCGTCCACAGGATGGATATGGTGCTCGCAATAAACTAGCCACTACGGTGGCAAAATCGAATCTTTCTTAGTATTCCTTGACCCATTATAATGCTTTCCCTGTAAATCCTGCCTGCTCCTCTAGATTTTGTACCAGTCTCATGTGAGTTACTATAATCGAATTTCTTCTTGCAATCCAAAAATACACAGTCGACCCATCCCTCTTTCCTGCCTGGTTTTCGTTATCTTATCCTAGAATTCACGCAGCAATGCGAGACAGGATCTGCCATCACGTTAACCATGCTGGTGTACTCACCTCACCTATTTGTGGTTGCAGGGGTCGAGTCATAGCTCCTGGCCCCATGTCTTCACTGATCGCTACTAGGTCCTCTCTCCCTGTTCCATGTGCTTTATCAAACCTTGTCTTAAAACTATGTATGGTTCCTGCCTTCACTACGTCACTTTCCAGACTATTCCACTTCCTGACAACTCTATGACTGAAGAAATACTTCCTAACATCCCTTTGACTCATCTGAGTCTTCATCTTGCAATTGTGACCCCTTGTTTCTGTGTCCCATCTATAGAACATCCTGTCTTTGTTCACCTTGTCAATTCCTCGCAGTATTTTATACGTCGTTACCATGTCTTCCCTAACGCTCCTGTCCTCCAGTGTCGTCAGGCCGATTTCCCTTAACGTTTCTTCGTAGGACAGTCCCCTTAGCTCTGGGACTAGTTTGTTGCAAATCTTTGCACTTTCTCTAATTTCTTGGCGTGCTTGACCAGGTGTGGGTTCCAAACAGGTGCTGCGTACTCCAGTATGGGCCTGACGTACACAGTGTACAGCGTCTTGAACGATTCCTTACTGATGTATCGGAACGCTATTCTTAGGTTTGCCAGGCGCCCATATGCTGCAGCAGTATCACCTACTCACCTAGTTGAGGTTGCGGGGGTCGAGTCCGAGCTCCTGGCCCCGCCTCTTCACTGATCGCTACTAGGTCACTCTCCCTGAACCGTGAGCTTTATCATACCTCTGCTTAAAGCTATGTATGGATCCTGCCTCCACTACATCGCTTGTGTGTGTGTTGTACTCACCTAGTTGAGGTTGCGGGGGTCGAGTCCGAGCTCCTCTGTGTGTGTGTGTGTGTGTGTGTGTGTGTGTGTGTGTGTGTGTGTGTGTGTGTGTGTGTGTGTGTGTAACTCTCACAGTCGTGATATAGTGTCATTTATTTTTATTTTTAAGCACTCGTGCAATATTAACATTTTAAAAGTACTGGCTAGTATCGGCCGTTTTTCACTGATACCGTAAAAGTTGCCGATACACTACACACACACCACACACACACACACACCACACAACCACACACACACACACAACTATTATTATATATATATATATTATATATATATATATATATATTATATATATATTAAATATATATATATATGTCGTGCCGAATATGTAAAACCGGTCAATTAGCAAGAACTCATTTAAAATTAAGTCCTTTCTAAAATTTTCTCTTATACGTTTAAAGATATATTTTTTTCATTAGTGATAACGTAAAAAATTTTAATTTTGCACCAAAAGAATCTTAGAAAACTTACCTAACCTTATTATAACAAGAACAATTTATTTTAGCCTAACCCAACTAAATATATTTTAGATTTGTTTACAATAGTTTAATACTAAACAAGCACAGTGAAAAATATTTTTTTCATTAGGTTCAGAATGATTTTGGCGAAATTATTGCATACACAAATTTTCACTTGTCCTATATGGCAAGATGAACGTTGCTATTTAAGCCAAGATCGCAAGTTCTGCCTATTCGGCACGACATATATATATATATATATATATATATATATATATATATATATATATATTATATATATATATATATATATATATATATATATATATATATATATAATCTAATAATAATAGTAATAATGATGATAATAATAATCGTGTGGTATCAGGCAGTAACCTTGTGATATTGTTACAGAAATGGTGTTATCATGGAGCGTAGAGAGGGGGTCGCTGCTGGTGGTGGTGGTTCATCTACTTCACCTCTCTACCATCTACGCTCACCCCACCAACACTGTGAGTTCTACCTCTACTCATCTACTGGTAATTACATTTTTTACCTACACCTGAGGTTCATGAATGTTGTTTCTAGGTTTGTTAGTGTTGCAGGTGTTGCTTAAGTTGTGTAGTTATTAGTATTGCAGGTTTCTCTTAAGTTGTGTAGTTGTTAGTATTGCGGGTGTTGCTTAAGTGTTTAGTGTTACGGGTGTTGCTTAAGTGATTAGTGTTGCAGGTGTTGTTAAAGTTGCTTTCTTCGTGTGTTTTCATGCAGGAACTTGTAAGGGGAGACAGATCCTGAGTGCTTGCAAGGTTCTCTAGTTATTGACGGTTCATCAGTGAGTGAATCAGTGGGTGTGTCGGGTCAGGGGCGCACACTCACTATTTACGTGTTTTGACAAGAGCTACACGACTGGGTAATCACAGTCTGGTCCTGACTCTCCCAGGAGCCTCTGTGTTGTCATCCACAGTGATTGGTCAAGGTTCCAGTGTTATACCTCAGGGTTATATCTCCCTTTGCTTTTGTGAACATTTACAAGGTTCCTTATCCTTCCATTACTTCTTTTATGCTCTTCTGTGCGTTTTTCTCGCCTTTCGGGTGCCTCTTATTTGCTTCGAGGCCTGAGACCATACAGAGCAAATAGTCACAATACCGTGACTGGAACAATACACAAATATCCCGCACATAGGAGAGAGAAGCTTATGATGACATTTCGGTCAGACTTGTCCCGTTTACGAGTCACACTAACACACAAGAGTGAGGGAACCACTATATATAGGGAAGGGAGATAGGGACGGGACAAAGAGAGGAAGACAGAAGTGGAGAAGTAGTTGTAAAGATAATGCTGGTAGTGGAAGTAGTAGCAGTAGTAGTAGTAGTAGTAATAGTAGTAGTGATAGTAGTAATAATAGTAGTGATAGTAGTAATAATAGTAGTGATAGTAGTAGTAGTAGTAGAAAGTAGGGGAAGAGCATAATCAGTGTGGCAGGAGTTCGGGTCAAAAAACATTTGAATGGTCTCTGTTGGGTAAATTTTCTTTACAGTTGTTCATTCAGCAGTGTGAGCAAGACTGTCTGCAGTGTAGCTGGCGTTGTTTTTTTACTGGGACGGTTTGAAATTTGTTATTATCAGACTACAGGAAATGTTATTTGGGTGAGCAGGTCATGAGGAGTTGGCACAGTGTTGTGAGGTGATCCATCACGACCTGTCTTAGTGAGGGAAGACAGACACATAATAAGAAAGGAATTGGTGGATGGCTGGAAATTGGAATATCAACAGTGACTAATTCTCAAGTTAGAAAAACTCTCGAAGAAGAAACAAGAGGTCTTCCAGTGGCTCCAAATATGGCGGAAGAAGATAAAAGGCGTCCGCAAAGGATGAAGGATCATGATGAGGAAATGTAACAAACAGCAACCACGCAGAGAGGTACTACCGTCCTGCCAAGTGAGTGTAAAACGAAAATCTGTAATTGTTTTACGTGATGGAAGGATTGCTGGTGTCCTTTTTTTTCTCATAAAAACGTAAGATTTTAGATACGTCTTGCTACTTCTACTTACACTTAGGTCACACTACACATGCATGTGCAAACATAGTTCATAGTACCTTGATAATGTGAAAAGTCACGAAAGTGCTTCGAATTTTACTATTTTTTTCACAGTGGTTGTTTTGCAATATATATATATATATATATATATATATATATATATATATATATATATATATATATATATATATATATATATATATATATATATATATATATAATGATGTAATTTATAGCAGTAAGAGAGACTAGAAATCTTAAGACATTTAGTGAAGTTCACACTGAATGTCCGTGGTTCGATCCCCGGCACGGATGGAAACATTGGGCATGTTTCCGTACACCTGCTGCTCCTGTTCACCTAACAGTAAATAGACAGCTGGGTGTTAGTAGACTGTTGTGGGTGGCATCCTGGGGAGGAGGTAATATACCTCAGATAGGACTGGGCTTTGAAATGAGTTGAGTTAGGATAACAGCTCTTGGCCTGCACAGTTGAACCATGTAAAAACAATACCCGGAAGATGGCATAACAATGCAGCAACCACCATAAGCAGCTGAATATACAATAACAAACAGAGAATAAGAAAAAACTTAAAATTGAATTTAAAATTATAATTTTAAACTTTTCCCCATTGTACTAACATTATTGTATTTTCAATTTCTTATTTTAAGCAGAGCAGAATGAATGTAGGAAAATATTTAATCAAATAGCGATTAATGGATGTGATAAGAGAGAGAATGAATATACCTTTGATGAGTCTTTCTATTGCTTGGAGCCCAGCCATGGACCAGGCTCGAACTTTTTGTCAAGTTTAAAAAATTCCAGGATAAATTATATAAGATAGGAGACCACGACTTTAAGTTCTCTTCCTCTGAGTACAAATAGGTAATTCCGCATACAGATTAAAATCTGGAGTTGGTCGAGGTCGTCAGTGAGAGAGGGAGTGGCTCTGCTTGCTTGCTTGCTTGCTTGCTTGCTTGCTGGCAGAGATTTTTTTTTCTGCCGAGTCTCCATGAGCAACTTACTGAGGCTGTCCTTGGTATTGTTGTCTCATGCACATTGTGTGTGCGTCGTGTGTGCCTAGGTGTGTGTGCACACAAATATGTGTGTTAGGTAAAACGACACATGTGCAACTAATGCGACATTTTACTGTGGCAACGTTTCGTTCTCCAGGAGCTTGATCAAGGTAACGGCTTGACAAAGCTCCTGGAGAGCGAAACGTTGCCACAATAAAATGTCACATTAGTTGCACATGTGTCCTTTTACCTAACATTGTCGGTAATTCTACCAATATTATTACAACTGTGTGTGTGTGTGTGTGTGTGTGTGTGTGTGTGTGTGTGTGTGTGTGTGTGTGTGTGTGTGTGTGTGTGTGTGTGTGTGTGTGTGTACCTGTGAATGCATTCACACACGTGGAAAAATGTGTATGTATAAAAAAACAATATCCCAACTCACGCCAGTAATACACCTCACGATCACTTACACAATACAAGAAAAAATGCAAGAAGATACAAGCAGTCTTGCAGTGGGCAGTAGAAAACGACATGTTGTTCAGTTGTGATAAATTCCAGTTGCTTAGATATGGAAAAAATTAACAACTCAAAAAGGGATACGATATACAAAATACAGGGTGACTTTGTAATAGAAGAAAAAAAGTTATGGACCAGGGTGTAATAACGTCATCTGACCTGTCGTTTAGAGAACACAATATGGCAAATGTTGTGAAAGCTAGATTAGTGTAAAGGCTGGATAATGAGAACTTTCCAAACAAGAGTAATAATGCTAGTGGTGACACTATTCAAATCACTTGTGCTCTCTCGCTTAGAGTATTGTCCAGTGTTGACGGCTTCATTGAGGATGGGAGAGACATCAGAACTGAAACAGATACAGAGATCATTTATAGCCTGGGATGAAACAATAAAGTTTCTAAACTATTGGGAACTCCTGGAAGTTCTGAATAAGAATTCTCTGGAGCAGAAGAGAAGAGAGAAATACTTGAATATATATATGTGGAAGATATTTGAGAGCCTGTTCCCAAACGTACATAATACCATAAGGCACTGGAGCGAGAGATATGGGAGGAAATGTAAAATAAACTCAGTGGAGGGCAAGGTCACCGTGAATACAAAAAGAGAACACTGTATCAACATCACTGGTCCTAGAATATTCAATATTCTACCAAAAGATATCAGATATATTACCAGAACAAGTACTATACAAGTCTTGAAGAGGAAACTCAAGTGGTATCTCCGCCAATGCCGGATCAACCAGTCTCTGAAGTATTTGTGGGCCAGCGTGCGCTAACATAAACAGCCTGGTTGACCAGGCAAGCACCAGACAAGGTTGGCCCATGGCCAGGCTGCTGGAATAAATAAACTCTCGAAACCAGTCACAGGTATGACCCACGTTAATGGATGCAGTGTGTATGATGAAACTCTCAGCAAGGACTGCAACTAATCATACATATTACAGAGGTAGAAATTGAATCACTAGTCAGATCACACAAGAGATCTGTCAAAACTTGTTATGCTCGAGCCTATGAACTCCAGCAAGGAAGATGTGAATGTATGGACCCGGTTATGTTACCGTGCACAAGAGATCTGTCAGGTGTATATAACACAGTTCAACAATTACCAGAATGTTAGGAGCTATAACAGTAATATCAGCTTGGAGGTTTCTCCAGTGTACATAAAACTCCAGTGTAGTATAAATACAAAATCCTTCAGTCAGTTATGATTGCATGACGCCCTAGCTTCAACATATCACAAGGCCAGGAGAAACCTGATGATATATCTACCATTGCTTTGAAGACACTTCTCCCTGACAAAAATATACTGTACTCTGTCATTTTCCCCATACAGGTTAGTTTGAACTAGTACTCACCTAAGGCACTGGTGTGTGTGTGTGCGTGTGCGTGTGCGTGTGCGTGTGCGTGTGTCTGTGTGTGTGTGTGTGTGTGTGTGTGTGTGTGTGTGTGTGTGTGTGTGTGTGTGTGTGTGTGTGTGTGTGTGTGTGTGTTCAAAAACATTCGTTTTCTACAAGTTGAATTCATTTTATGAGCTGTTTCTTCTTGGTTGCATTTGGTAAATATATTAGTAAAGTTTGTGTAGGTGACAGCAGTGTTTTGTTTTACCTACAAAGCCTCAGTAATGTTGTCATAACATAATAACTCTGATGGGCATTATCTTCCCGCTGTAAAGCCATGTTATCTTCTCTAACTAATATTTCTCAGTAAAATGAAAAAACTTAGTGTCTCAGCATCCCTTCAGAGATTTTTTTTTTTACATTGCTCTACTTTTTCCTTTATGTAGAGGGACGGTTTCTTCCATTTTTAAGACCTTTAAGATTTCTCCTGCCAGAGTTTAATTTCCTCCAGAGAACTCTTTGAGTATTTTTCATATTTATTATAACCGTGTTCCCAGACTCAGGACCAGACGCACACGTCACCTAGTTATTCATTTACTTGTGCTTGTAGGGGTCAAATTATGGTCCATGGCCTCATT